CTCTGATGAACCATGCAGAGCCTAAGGAAAGTGATTGCAACACAACGGGAATTCAGGAACAATCACAGGAAATTAATTCAAAGGAATATACTGCAGATTTGATTAAGGAAACAAATCTAGAGCAATTTTCTCTACAAAATGATTTGATAATTGCTAATCAAATTGTAGAGAATATTGCTGATGGAGATTCTGCTGGTGTTATATCTAAGGGTACTCCTGTCCATTCACAAACCGATCTTAATTTAACCACAAATGGCGGGAAATCAACCAAGGAAAAGAAAGCTAACTATACTCGACAGTGGATAAGAGTAAATAAGGACCAGACACTCAACCATGTTACCTCTAATCCACTAGCAAAACTAAAGAGATCTCTGGATATCTCACCTGTAAACGATGAATTTACGAGGGCCTCTAAATGGTTGAAAGGAAAAGGTAAGTTCCATGTGAGAAATTATGACTCCAATTCTCAGATTTTGGTGGTGGCTGAAAATCAACCCCACCGATCCTCATGAAGCTGCTCAGCTGGAATGCACGAGGGCTTGGGAACCCTCGTGGCATTCGTACCATTTCTGATATTATCAGACAAGAAGATCCTCAATGTTTTATTCTTGCAAAAGACAAAACTAAATGCTACAAACATGGAACTTTGTTGAATTAAATTGAAATTTTATGGCTGTTTTAGTGTTGATGCTATGGAGCGTAGTGGTGGAATTGCTTTACTTTGGAAACCTGATGTTCACCTATCTATTCTCGGTTACTCTAAAAATCACATTGATGCTAAAATTGATTCGCCTTCGTATAGCTGGCTGTTAACTAGAATCTATGGCCATCCCAAGACAAGTAAACTTATGGAAACCTGGAATTTATTGAGAAGGCTGAAAAGAGACTCTACAGAAGCATGGCTTATCTTTGGTGATTTCAATGAAGTTTTATCGAACAATGAAAAATGGGGAGGACGAGATAGACCTAAACAACAACTAGAAAATTTTCAGCAGATATTCCTTGATGTGAGCTAAGAGACCTTAGATTCAAAGGCCCCCAATACACATGGTATAATGGAAGACACGAATCTACCCAAATTTTTGAAAGACTAGATCGCTTTACTGCTAATGATTCCTGGTGTTGACTCTTTGCACAAGCTTCGGTTACTCATGGCTCCACCGCATATTCAGATCATCTCCCTTTGTGGATCCAGCTAGATGGTGATTATAAAACACCTAGAAGACCTAGACCTTTCAGGTTTGAATCAATGTGGCTTGGAGAAAATGCATGTAGTGATATTGTGTTGGAACAATGGAAGGACACCAACTCTCAGAATCTGGACATCATTATGGAAAATATAAGTTCCTGTAGTAAACAACTTTAGTTTTGGAATAAAGAAAAATTTAGTTTTGGAATAAAGAAAAATT